GGGAAACACAGGGCAGATAGCAGCATCTCCGGTCAGTGCAGGGGGCGTGGCCAGCACTGTGACATCTCATGAACAGACACAGACCTACTCTCTCCTGCATGGCACACTTAACGCACGAATCATCATCAGGTTCTTGGTTCTAGGCTGTTCACACTTTTTCATCGCAATTCATGTTAGCTCGTCATTCTTCAACCGTTATGTTATGGCTCCGCGAAAGTGTATTAATTCACCATCTTGGAACACATGGCCCCCTGCTATCCAAAAAGGTGATTCGCACCGAAATTCAAAGGGCGCTTCAATCCGGGGCTTGAAAAGTGGCTTGTGCTGCAAAGAGCTGCTGCGCCCCTTGTTGCCGGTGGGATTAGCCTTCTGGAAGCAGTGGCTCGTAAATAAGCTCTGTTCTAGGCTCCTGCTGTGATCTGGTGAGGCTTGCGGAGGCTCAGCATTGCAGAGCGGCTGGCGGTCCTTGCTGAGTGACCCAGGTCACCCTTAGTGACCTAGGCTGTGTGCCGCCCCTGGGGGCTAATGACAACCGCCCCTAGCCCTGTGAGTCTTCAGATACTCACTCAGGCAGTTGATGGTAGTATTTGCGCTTTTACAAGATCAAGATCAAAGGCCAGAGAGGGCATAAAACCATGGACTTTCAGTATCTCAGCTCTTTCTTCTCTTCTTCTCCACCAACATTGAAGCGTGTGATCACCTTTTCTGTTCAGGACTCAAGCCATGTGGTTCTGTCCACCATTAAAACCTTCTTTCCAAGCAGCCTCCGTGTGTCTCCAGTATCTTTTTCCCCACTTGGAGCTGAACCCAGGAGGACATTTCTTCCAACAGGGGGCACTCTTTTTGTGGCGGGCGCTCTTTTTGCCGTGGGCGCTCTTTTTGTGCGTCCATCAGTGTTACTGGCAAGGAGTGGGGCAAGAGGCACGTCGCTGCGCTCTTCTTGACATAGCCTCTCTTTTTGTGGAGGGTGCGCTTTCTTCCGCGGCCTGTCTTTTTGACGCAGCCGCTCTTTTTGCCCAGCCATCAGCGTTATCGTTAGGTACGGTAATGGCATATGGGGTGCGTGGGGCATGTTCTCCCCACTCCGGCCTCGCCTCCTTACCTTGTGTTGTTTGCACGGAAAGCAACTAGAGAAAATGACAGGGACTGGCTGTGCATGCGCTTAAGTAGGTGGGGGGGGCGCTAATTTTCAAGGGGGGGTTATTTTAGCGCATGCGCTGAAAAGCCCGATTGGGCTTAGTATCAGGACGTGTCTTATTTTCAGGGAAACACGGTACTTGTTCTGATGTGCAGTGCCTTATAGTGTCATTTTGAGGGTAGAAGTTGAAACTGTTTATGTCCAGGATGCGAAGGTCTGTAGATATTTTCTCAGCCCCCTTTTTGACTCGTGCAGTATACAGGTCCTCAATGGAGGGCAGATTGGTAGCAATTGTTTTTTCTGCAGTTCTAATTATCCATTGAAATCTGTGTTTGACTTGATTGATTGCAGTGCCAAACCAAACAGTTATAGAGGTGCAAATGACAGACTCAATAATTCCTCTGTAGAACTGTATATGCAGCTCCTTGGGGAGCCTGAGCTTTCTGAGTTGGCACAGGAAGAACATTTTTTATGATTTATTTGATGTTAGGTATCCATTTTAAGTCTTGAGATATAACAGAACCTAGAAACTTGAAGGTATCTTCTGTTGCTACTGTCTTGTCTAGTATTGTGAGTGGTGGTAGTGTAGGAGGGCTTCTCCTAAAATCTGCTATCATTTCTACATTTATTTTAATATACTTTACTTATAAAATAATAAAGAGAGGATAAAAGTCAAATAAAAATTTGGTTGACTAGTCTGATTTATTTTAGACTGTTGTGTGAACATAGGCATATCCCTACCCAGGTTTCAAGCAAAAACAGTTCAGAGAAGAGCAACAAAGATGTTTAGGGGACTGAAGGCTAAAACATATGAAGAACGGTTGCAGGAACTGGGTATGTCTAGTTTGATGCAAAGAAGGACTA